CCGCGCCGCGGCCAGGGGCACGGCGGCGAGCGCGCTGGTTGTCACTCTCCGCGAGAGCGAGGGCGAAGGCGAGGAGGAGGAGGGGAGCGGCGGCGCGGGCGGGGCGGGCGGCGGCGAGGAGGCGCCGCCGAGGAGCATCCTCTCGCCCCTCGCCCTCCGCGACATCAGCCGGCAGGCGCGCAGGCACGTCCCTGGCCGCCCTCCCCCCTTCACGATCGGCGCCTTCTGCCCGACTCCGTGGCCGCGCACGCCCAACCAGCGCAGCGCTAGCTTTGGCGACGCGTCTTCCTTCCTCTTCTCCCTCACGCCGCGCGCACGGGTCTACCCCGCCGCCAGCCGGTCGGCGGGCTGCTTCCGCGTCAGCGGCGAGAGCGGCATCGGCATAGGCGGCGACGCCATTCTGAGAACAACAACAGGCTGATCGTCCAGCGTCGTCCATGGCACCTCCGGGACACGTCCCCATAGGCGGCGACGCGCTCCTCCCAGCAATCTCCGTCTCGACGGACCTCGCCACCGGCCGCTGCCTCTCCTGCCACACCTTTGGAGACCTCTCTGCGATGGCCCCCTCCACCGACGCTTTCTCGATCGGACTCGTCCAGCTCTGGGACTTGACGCCGCTGAGCGAGCACGAGGCCGGCGCGGGCGGCACGGCAGAGATCGAGCAGTCCTCCGTGCTGGCGGCCCGGCGGGCGGACGCGGTGATGCTGCCCTTCCGAACGTCGGTGATGATGCGTGTAGAGTGAGAAGCAGGGCGAGAGCGACATGCGTGCGTCAGCCGTCACTGCGTCAGGCTAGGCGTCAGGCACCATCGTGGTTGATTTGTCCGATATTGATGACGTCTTGGTCCGTCTTCAGCGTCTTGGCTCTTGCATATGACAACGCCCTGGAACGTACAGTACGTGGCTGGGTTCACAGCGATTGTAGGAAAATGACGGGAACACTTGACGGTCGCGGCCTTCCGACTCGCGCCTCCGCCTCACTGGCACTATTGTCAGTATACTCTGTCAGTGTGTTGTACGGACACAATATTACACTTAGAACTTATACATGTCGGAGTGGGTCTCGGGGTGCGCCGCACCCACAAAGCTCAAAGCAAAAGCGGCGCCGCGCGGGGAGAGTGAGGAGTCGCGTGACGGCGCGTGGACCCCTCTGATTGATGCTCTGTGTCCGGGCGCGTCTCTATCGTCTCCATCAATCGCGCCCTTTTCCGCCGCCGCCTCCAGCTCCTCCGCTACTGCCACCGCCGCCTTCGCTTTCGCCTTCTCCCAATCTTCTGCAGGCACCTCCCCTGGTAGCAGTCGACAGGCTTCGAGACAGGTTGTACCGGCCGACAAAGGCTGCGACGGTGGCGGGTTCGTCCGGGTTGAGCGCAAAGAAGTTGTCAACGTGCGATGGTCCAGCGCCGCAGGAGGCGCCGGAGCCGCCCGGCTTCTCCTCAGCGCCGTGCCGTAGCATATCGACGACTTGCTCGTGTCCCTTCGTGCTAGCGGCGACTAGCGCCGTGCGCCTGTCGCTCGCCTGATGGTCAATCTTCGCGCCGTGGCGCAGAAGAAGGTCGACCACTTCGACCGCGCCGTCCTCGGCGGCGAGCATGAGCAATGTCAAGCCGCTCACTGACCCTTCCTTGAACGTCGCGTTGACCTCCCCTCCTCCACCGAGCCACGCCAGCACGGCCGCCTCAAGACTGCTCACTGTCCAGACGGTCTGTCCGTCCACGTCAGCAGGTGCGGGGACCCCGCTTCGCCTTTTGAGGCAGCGGTGCGATACGGCCCGACGCGCGCGCGCCGCCGCCGAACGCAAGCTCGTGATCAGCGCCCGGCCGTTGACGCCCGTGTCCGCGCTAGTGGTCGTGAGGTCGGACGCCATGTTTGCCCACGGTTGATCATCAATCTCAACTTCGGGGGGCAGCCCGCCGCCGAAACTTGACTTCGTTTTTTCGGTCGGGGCTGACCCTCGAAGACCCGTGTTTACTTTATGGCCCTTTCCCTGCGAACGCGCACCCCCCTATAGGGGCTAGGGCTCTCTTGCCCGCAACCCGTCCCCGAGCATCTGGCTCGCTGGGTGCGCTTCTTAGCTCCCCGGCCCTGTGGCTGGATGTGAGGCTACCGACTGACTGACTGCACTCCAAGTGCTCCAAGTTTCGCCTCTGGGTGCGCTTCTTAGCTCCCCGGCCCTGTGGCTGGATGTGAGGCTACCGACTGACTGACTGCACTCCAAGTGCTCCAAGTTTCGCCTCTGGGTGCGCTTCTTAGCTCCCCGGCTCTGGGCGTGCGGTTAATAACTGCACTCCAAGTGCTCCAAGTTTTTCGGGAAATGCTAGGGGCGGGGGGCTCACGCCCCTGGGGGGCCCGTTGGGCCCTCTGGTCTCCGGGGGGCAGCCCCTCCGGGGAGGCTTTCTCCCCGTGCCGGTTTCTCCCTAATCAACCCCGGCAGCGCGAGCTGCCGGCCATATTGAGCGGTTCGTCCGCGTCGCGCACTCGTCCCAACCGGGCCGCAGAGCTCTCGGGCGCTCTCTCTCTTCTCTCTCGTCTGACCACTGACAGTGACACTGACTATACAAAGAGAGAGAGTGCAAAGCTCGCTTCCGAGCTCTCACGCCGCGCGTAGGGCCCTTAGGGGCCTAGAGAACACAAACCCCCTCTCTCTTTTCTCCCAGTAAGCTAAAAGTACGTACAAAGACAAACAGGTACAAAAACGCGACAGAAGACGCAATGTCGAGCGCGGAACCCAGATAGAAGACCTTCGGTGCGCTGGGCCGGCCATTCGTCTCCGATGGCACCCGAACGCCGATCCAGTGGCCAGCTACGCCGACAGCTCCAAAGAAATCGTCATTCTCGAACAGCGTCGCCAGGGCGGACTCCTCAGCCGTGGGTTTCAGCTGGACAACTGTAAAGAAGGTGAAGTCCTGCACGAGATTGCTCGGCCCGGAGAGCGCGTCAACCGCAAGTGCCCCCCGTGCGAGGGTCTCGCCAAGGAGTTCCTCCTCTGGTGATGTATATGGCCTCTCGTCAGTACCCTATCAGCGCCACTCCTCGCTGCTCGGTGCGCGGTTCTTCTTTCTTATCACCCTACTGTGAAGGCACTGTGAACATCAACAGGGCTCGCACCTCAACCTCTCACAGACCAGCGCACAGCGCCATAGGACGTATTTTCTTCTCAATAACAAGGCTGTGAACAGAGTTCGTACACCGAGCAGCTTACGTACCTAGCTACCTACCTAGCAGAGCTGGGAGCTCCGCAACTCGAGATCCCTCGAGAGTTCACGCGAAAAATTGCCCGCGGAGTAGGCTGGGGCTATACCAGACAGTCAGTCGCCCACACGGGACAGTCGAAAGAAGAATTCGTAAAAGGGGACTCTCTCAAAGAAAGATGTCGACCGATATTGCTGAGGCGGATGCGTGGGGCCGCCAGCAGTGGTAGCGGCGTAGATGCCGCCCAGCGCCACAGGGGCTGCAACGGCTGCTCCAGCTGTCCCCGCATGGCCAGCTTCGTCATCTGGTAGAATCTCACTCGTAGTGCGGCATCTCGAGCTCCGCCGGCGTCTCATCATCCAGCGTCAGCTGTTCCATGTCGCCCGCGAGGCTGGTGGCGACCGTGTCGGACTCGGCGCCGGGCATCGGCTGCAGCGGCACGCCCCTGTACGCGCTGTTGTCGACGCAATGCTTGAGGAGCGACCCCCAATGGAAGTCGAGGCGGAGGACGTTCGGGTTGCCGACGACGATGAGCAGCGCCTGCGCGCGCGTGATCGCGACGTTGAAGCGCTTGGGGTTGTCGAGGAAGCCGAGGTTGTGCCGCACGTCGCAGCCCACCCAGTCGGGGCTCGAGCGGACGGTGGAGATGATGATGACGCGCTTCTCCTGGCCCTGGAACATCTCGGTGCTGCCGACCTTGATGCCCTCGAGCTGCTCGGCGCGGAACAGGCGCTTCAGCTTCTGCACCTGCTTGTTGTACGGCGCGATGACGCCGATGTCCTCGGGCGTCAGCCGGACGCTGCAGCCGTTGTGCGCGCGCAGCAGGTCTCTCACGTGCTCGAGCACGCGGTGGCACTCGTCCACGTTGAACCAGCTGGGCGAGCGCTCCTCCTGCTGGTCCTTGCCGACGATCCCATCGAAGAGCAGGGGCACGCCCTGGCTGGGCAGGCCCTCCCAGCCCTCGCAGCACTTGAGGAGCAGCTCGTCGCCGCGGCAGAGCAGCTCGCCCTCGTAGAAGAGCTGGTTTGGCAGCTCGAGGAGCGTCTCGTGCGCGCGGAAGTTCTGCAGCAGCTTGGTGAGCACGCGCGGGTCGTACTCCTCAAAGCCACCCGGCAGCGGGTGCTTCTGGTAGATGGGGCGCTCCATCAGCCGCTCCAGCACGGACGTGCTCAGCCCGTGCTCCTTCGCGAGCGAGTGATGGATGACGGGGCCGAGCTGCTTCGGGTCGCCCGCCAGCACCAGCTGCCCTCCTTGGCCGAGGAGCATCGACGCGGCGGCGAGCGACTCGGGCTCCTGCGCCTGGCCGGCCTCGTCGATGACGATCACATCGAAGTGCCCGCGAGGGATGCCCTCGCCGCAGAGCTTCGCCGCCGTCGTGAGCGTCGCCACCACGACGCGCACGCGCTCGAGCTCCTCCTTGGGCGGCATCTCGATGGTGCGCTCCGCGGGCGCGCAGTTGCTGTGGCGGAGCACGCGCTCGTCGATGTCGTTCGGGTTGCGCGTGTAGGCGTTCACGCGCAGCATGTCCATCTTCGAGCCCAGCCCGCCCTCGGAGAGCCGCTTGCACAGCACGTCCGCCGCCGTATTGGTCGGCGAGGAGACGAGCACGCGCAGTTCGGCGCCCGTCACGCGCTTGACGCACTGCAGCACGCACTCCACGACGGTCGTGGTCTTGCCCGTGCCCGGCGGCCCGTAGATGATGTACGGCACGTGGCGCGCCCGGCCCTCGACGATCGCCGTCACCGCCGCCAGCTGCTGGGCGTTGATCCGCCGGTCGAAGGGGCGCAGCGGCGCGGCGACGCTGCGCGCCGCGTGGAGCTGCGCGGTCGCCAGGTGGGCCATCTCCGGGAAGAGCCTCGAGGCGGCGCCCGCAGTGCCCGCCCTGTCGACGCCGTCGAGGCCCTGGTGGAAGCGGCGCAGCGGCGTGCGCGAGAGAACGAAGCTGATCTCGATGCGCTGCCCCGCGACGTACTGGAAGCGCGTGTTGTTGAACTCCAGGAGCACTGTCTCCCGCTCGATCTCCCGGGCGCGCCCCTCGAAGACGCGCCCAGGATCGCCGGGGAAGTTGGCCTTGATGACGTCGCCCTTGAGGACGGAGGGCCGATTCTCGGCGAGGCCGCGCACCTCGAGGGCGAACAGCCGGCCGCGCGGCGTGAGGACGGTCGCGTCGTCGGCGCGCAGGTCAAACTCCCGCAGGTCGTCGTTCAGCTGCATCTCCTCCACCCACAGCAGCTCGTGGAACGCCTTCTTGTACGCCGCCAACGCCGCCGCCTCGCTCACGCCGCCCAGCAGCCGCTTCATCTGCTCGCAGGCCGCCTCGAGGGCCTCGCCGGCCTCGCCGCTGCCCACGGCCGCGCGGAGGCTTCCGGGGATCCTGTAGAGTGGTAGCTTCCCCGCCTGCGCCCGGCGCGTGTTGGCGGCCGCGCCGCCAAACGACGACGACCCCAGCGGCGGCGCCTCGACCACTTCAGTCTCGTCGGTCGGCGGCGGCGGGCGGCGCCTCGGGCGCCTCTGGTAGGGCCGGGTGGGCGCGAGGTCGGTGATCGCATCGGCGTCGCCGCAGCGCACCTCGAGGAAGCGGGCGATGCCAAAGTGGCCGAAGTTGAGGTTGAGCACGTTGTTGCACATGCCGGAGAGGATGGGGCGGCACGTGAGGGTGAGGGTCACCTTCCCCCCAGGCGTCAGAACGAGCGCGCCGTCCTCGCCCGTGAAGCTGCTCGAGAAGGGCCCCGGGCCGCGCTGCAGGAAGCTGGCGCCGGCCAGCTCGCGCATCTCGTCGCTCGCGTTCTCGACGACGAGCGTGCGCTGGACCGCGGCGCCGCGACGGACGATGAGCCCTCCCTCGAACACGTGGAGAGGCGTCACGCGGACGCCGAACTTGTCCTTCTTCTCCATCACGTCGCGCTGCTCGACGACGCTCTCCGCGAGGGCCGCCATGGCGCCGATCGCGGCGAAGTAGACGCGCTGGCCGACAACGGCCTTGATGCGCACCACGCCGAGCCTCGCGCCCTGCGCCGCCGAGAAGCGCCACAGGCGGAAGAGCACGGTCGCCGCCGCGCCGCGCCACTTGCGCCCGTCGGTGAGCTCGCGGGCCTTCCACGCGGCGTACTCGGCCTTGAAGGCGTCCTTCTTGGCGCAGCGGGCGCGCAGGGCGTCGTCCGCGCGCAGCTGCTGGCCGAAGGCAATGACGGTATGCTCCTCCGTCGCGGCGACCGGCGGGCCCTGCGACGACGGCGAGGCAGGCTGCGGAGGGACAGCGGCCGGCGGTGACGGGGTGACGACGAGAGAAACGGTTTCCGCGCCGCCGGAGACGGCGCCCTCGTACAGGGTGAAGACAGCAGGATGCTGCTTGATCACCGACTTGAGCTTGCGCTGCAGGCCATGCGGCTTCGGCACCTTGCCCAGCGACGTCAACTGCACCTTGTCGCCGCCCTGTGTTCGAATGAAGTCGACGAGAAGGTTGACGTACTGCTGCAAAGGAAATCTCGGCGGCGGCGGGGGCGCGGGCATCTCGGTGACACCGAGAGAGTTGACGGTCAAACTCGGGCCGGCGAAAGGTCGGCGCTCAGCGTGTCAAGTTTCATCGATTCTAGTTCATCTTTTTTTGTGACATGAGCGGTAGCTCTACTCCGTACTCCCCAAGTCGCAAGTGCTCTGTCTCCGTTGCGGGTCGCGGGTGACCTGCCGGTTTTGGTCCGCCCCGTGCTTGCTTCGGCAATGAATAATTGGAGATCTGTGTGTGTAAGACTGACTGACTGACTGCGCACACAGCTATTGCAATATGACATCATCGTCGCCCCTTCCGGCGCCTCGACGGTGGAGAGAGCTCATGCGTCCTCCTGCTTCACGCCGCTGCTGGCGGCACCTTGGTCCGCGCCCGCCTTCCCGCTCGCCCCACCATCCTCCGTCTTTGCCTTCTTGGCCTTGGCCTCGTCCTCGTCCTCTTCGGCCGAGTCTTCTCGCTCATAACCGAATGTCACGTAGCCGCTTATGCCGGCCTTGACGAGCAGGTGGCCCTTCCTCGCAAAGATCGCCCGGAAGCGCCGCTTGATCTCGGCGTCGTCGTCTCCGAGCTTCTGTCGCACGCGACCCACCACGCACTCCTTACACAGCTTCTTTCCCGTCGGCTGCGTCCAGTACTTGGCGGTGGGCTTCCAGCCGCCGAGGTTAGCCATCGGAATGGGCGCGTTGCAAAGGCCGCAGACCCACGGCTTTGCACCGTAGTTGGCCACAAACGTGCCTGGAAGTCTCCGGCATTCCTTTTTGAACTCCGCGCACTCGAGCTTGTCGTTGATCCAAAGGTGGATCGAAGCTGCCTCCGCGTCCGTGAAGGCGCCCGGGCCGGGTGGAGGCCCGCCAAACACTACTTGGCCGACGCCCATGGCCGCCGGAAAGAGCTTCAGCTCATCCAGAAGCGACAGCTTTGTGCGGACGTCAAGGGGCTGCGGCGCTGCTGCGAGTTTTTTCGCCACGTGCTCCGCGGCGATCTCGTGATTGAAAAGCTCGAGCGCGCGATTGAAGCGCAGCGCGCTAGCGAACGGCTTGCCTCGCGACGGCTGAGCACGCTTGGACATGCGCTCGCGAAATGTGTGGTTGACCCGACGCTTTCAGCTCGCGGACGCAACGCGGCTTAGGAGGGGGGCGCGCCGCGCGCTTCGGTCCACAACCCTTTCCAATTGTAGCGTTTTTCGTGAGTTTTTTCTTGGATAAATTTCAGATTACCCGGTTTTTGAGATTCGCCTCGCAGATCACCCGGCGTTTTTCAGATCACCCGGCGTCTGCGACGTTTTGCCTCTCAGATCACCCAACACGGCGAAATGTCGTTTCCAGATTACCCAACACGGCGAAATGTCGTTTCCAGGTTACCCGGGTCGCGAAATTTCTTTTTCCAGATCACCCAGTTTTGAGATTCGCCTCGCAGATCACCCGGCGTTTTCCAGATCACCCGGCGTGAGCGGTTTCAGATCACCCGGTGCGGCGAAATGTCGTTTCCAGCTTACCCAACACGGCGAAATGTCGTTTCCAGATTACCCAACACGGCGAAATGTCGTTTCCAGGTTACCCGGATCGCGAAATTTCTTTTTCCAGATCACCCCGTAGTGGGATGAGCCGGGTAATCTGAAAGTTGTACGGATTCACGACACACTGCGTCATTCAAGCAAACGAGGCCGGGGATTCCGAGTGGGAGCTCTCCTTAGGACCAAGTGCCGCAGGTGCTCGCTCTCTGGACGAGGTGCACGCTCGCGTCCGGGTAAGCTGAAACGAGAAATTTGCGCGCCCGGGTAATCTCAAAGAGAAAAGTTAGCCGCCGGGTAATCTGGACGAGAAATTTGGCCGACCGGGTAATCTGACATGAGAAAAGTTAGCGGCCGGGTAAGCTGAAACGTGAATTGTGGGAGACTGGGTAAACTGGTTTCTCAGTTTTTTGATGAAATTGCTGCTGAGCAGGAAAAAAATATCGTTGCCGGGTAATCTGGACGAGAAATTTGGCCGACCGGGTAATCTGACATGAAAAATTTTAGCGACCGGGTAAGCTGAAACACGAATTGTGGGAGACTGGGTAAACTGGTTTGACGGAAATCGCGCTAAGCAGGAAAATATCGTTCGTCGGGTAATCTGCGAGGCGAATCTCAAAAACCGGGTAATCTGAAATTTATCCTTTTTTCTTCCCGACTCGCTTACTCTGAAAGAAAAGAATTTAAAATTAAAAGAATTTTCACGAGGGAAGCGTCGGCACCACTCCAATCCCCCTTCGGGTGTCCACCGACGTGAAGACGATTCGACGCTCGACCTGGAGGACTACGCATTTGTGATGCGGTGCCTGCTCGAGAGCGACGTCCATCGAGCGAAGGAGGACCTCGTGATCAAGGTTTTGGGAACCTGGCGGATGATCAGGTGGCGGGCTGGATCCGGCTGGCCGTGTCGCTGATGCGCTTGTATCCCGACGTTCCGCCCGAGCCGTACAGGCAGGATTTCACGGTCGTGTTCCACGCCCTCGGGGTGATCGAGGTGCTTCCGGTCGAGCGTTCTGCGCCCGGCGACGAGCACATTTCTTCGATGTCGACGCGGTTGTCCCAGCGGCGGTGCAGGCCATCGTCGAGCTTGCCCTCGAGACGCTGTCCTACGATAGCGGCCCTTTCTCCCCCGAACTCTCCATGGTGGCCTTTTTGCCGCGAGGCCGATCGCGATACTCGTGGACTCGCCGGCGGCGGCCGCGGGCCGCTGCGGGCTGCCTGCTGCTTTGGTGCGGCTCCTCGACACGCTCCTGGACACGGCCCTCAAAGCTCTATGTTCGTTGGCGCTCACCGACGGCGCCGCAGTCGTTGCCGCTGACGCCGTGCGCATTGCGATGCACGTCCTCTCGCACCCTCACCTAGGACTGTTGACGAGTGGTGTGAGTACCATCAATGTTGGCACCATAGCAAAGCCAAAGGCGCAACTCTGAGGTGACTTCACGAGCATGCGCACCCATTTGACGCAGAGGTATCCGACAACCGAGCCGGCTTCGTGGCCGCTGAGAAATGCAGAGTTGCCGCCGAGGGAGACCAAGCCCGGTGGCAATCCGAAGCATCGTGAGCGAACGGTGCAGAGCCACTCGAAGTACTCCGTGCGCTCATCAAGAAGCAGGTATCTATGGTTAGCCGACGAAGCTGAGTAGTAGTATCGGGTGGCGTTTGAAATCAGCTGAACTTGGATTTCCTTCCAGCGCCCAATGCCGCACCAAAAGGTGTGTTCCGACAAGCCGCAAAGGGGCAACATGACCTGGTTTGAGCTCCCAATTTCGCAGCGAAAGGTGTGCATCGAGATTCAGGAAGGGCCCACTCCTTCTCGTGGGAGCGGGCTGTGTGCCTGCTCTCAGTCCTGGCGTCGGACGGACACGGCGTGCAGGATGAGACGACGCGAGCGACGCGGGTGACGCGAGTGTCACGAGCAGGCCGCGCAGCCGCGGTCAGCGCGGGGCCGTCGGCTTCCTGCGGTGGGCGCGGCCCGCGCCGCCACGTGTGGTGCCTGTTTTAATTATTTATCCGTGTGGGATGCCTCGGTCCGATAGGGTGCCCACAGGACCCAAAAGAAAATAGCTTTCCGCCTCAAAAACAAAGGGACGCACGAGGCAAATCTGATGTTGGAGTGTTCCAATAGGAGCGAGGCCTCTTCCGTTGGGGGACCGAGTGACTAGGAAACGAGGGTTCCCCGCTTTGTCCCCTTCGCGCGCGAGCGTGACACTCTGCACTTGGCGCCGAGCGGCCGCGGCACAGACCTTGTGCAGGCTGCCGCTCATTGAGTGCACCGGTCCGGACCGAGATGGCACTCGATGTGGAGCAAGCAAGACCCCCCCCCCATCGGCGCGCGCCCGAGGTTTGAACGGCCGCCAGGAGCACCAAGAGGACTGCTCATGGCTGCACTCAAGGGGGCTTCGACCGGCCTCGGCTGGGGGGGCGGGTTGTCCCGGTTGCGGACGCGTGCTGCAGCCCCCTGGGATGGGGACAGCACCCCAAAACTGCCCCTCGGCGGCATACAGCACTGCCAGCCAGCCTCTTCTTCCTCCTCAAGGGCTGTACTATAGGCCATATTGCGCCGCCTCCTACTGGCAGCCGGGCGGGCGCGCGCCGCGGGCGCCTCGGCGCGCGCACGGCTCGCAACGTTCGAACGAGTACTGTGCCGCCCGGCCGCCTCAAGGCTGCCGGGCGGCAGTACTCGCCTCGCAAGGCGCACACCGGCTGCTCTGGCTGCTGCGCCGGCGGCCGCTGCGCTGGCCGCTGCTGCGCCGGCTGGCGAGCGGTACGGCCGCCGCCGGCCGCTGCACCCGCGCCTTCCCTCGCGGGCGCCGTCGCGCCGCGCGCGCCCAACTCTGCTGGCACACGGCACGCGTCGTCACTCAGCCGCGGAGAACAGGCGGTGCAGCGCGCGAAGCGCCGCGATCTCGTACTTTTAAGGCTGGATCCGGCCATTCCAAGGGCAAGGCGCGAGGGTATACATTGCGTTACATTTGAGAATCTTCAGCGTCCCTCCCTCCTAGTCACAATCTCAATTTCTCGACTCTCCAACACGAAGTGCTGCGATCGGGGTTCTCGCCCATTTCTTTTTTCCTTGCTTGCTTTTTGGTCCGAGAGATACATTAAAGTCCGAAGAAAGAAAGAAAGAAACGCGAAAGCGAGCAAAGAAAGAAAGAAACCAGAAAATCATGCAATTTTTATTTTGCTGTCGGCGGCCTGCTTCTTCGCGAATGCTGTCTCGCAGCGCGAGGTTCGTGTCCCGCTTGTCGGGCAGGGCGGCCGGCCGCGCCTTCTCCTCCCAGGCCCAACCGCAGCAGCAGGTCAGCCCTCGTCTCGCGGCTTTTCGCGAGCAGCTCGCATCGGACGTCGCCACAGAGGACGAGACGTCGTGGACCGACTCTGTCTCCGTCGCGGAGCGGGTAGGGACGAAGAGGGCGGTGAAGAAGCAGCACACGCGCCACCCGGACTGGCTCAAGGTGCAGCGGCCTGGGGGGGACGACTACATGCGGATCCGGAACGGCCTGCGCGCGAGCAAGCTGGCGACCGTGTGCGAGGAGGCGCGGTGTCCCAACATCGGCGAGTGCTGGTCG